CTTAAATTCATAAACTCTATAGGGATACTAAATTACTTAATTACTAAAGTAAAAGTAAAGTAAAGTCTAATAAAACCCACATTTGTGCTACAATTGCTTTTAGCTTTGTGGTGAAAGTATAGTTTTTATAAAAACTTTGGGATCATGTTTCTATATAACAAGCTTGTAATTGGAAATGGTATTTCAATTGACTATTTAACATTTGTATGGATAAATAAGAATATTATCAACAATACTTCAGGAAAAATCATAGCACCCTCTTTTATAATGGAAAAATTATAAGATATAGATAAGAAATCTAGTAATACCTTTTATGTTAATACAATTGCCCCAAGTGCCATGATAAAGAAATCAGCTTTATGAACATTTAGGGATCATGTTCAAGAAAAACAAATTATGTTGTATTAAGAAATTCTTTAATCTTTCTTTTGAAATCATATTACTTTATTGGGCTATGGTACCTTTGAATAAATCATAAACCTAATGGAATCTATCTTATTTACAGGTCGCTCTCAGCGTCGCAACAAGAAGAAGAAGCAAAAGGAAGTGGTGTCAAAGGTGTCCTTCACGCAGCTAATGAAATTGAACGCTCCCGAGTGGCGCTTCATTGTGGTGGGCAGTATCGCCTCCGTGATGCACGGTGCCACATTCCCCTTGTGGGGTCTGTTCTTTGGCGACTTCTTTGGAATTCTTTCGAACGGCGACGATGATGTGGTGCGATCCGAGGTATTGAAAATTTCGATGATCTTCGTGGGCATTGGCTTGATGGCCGGATTAGGCAACATGCTGCAGACCTACATGTTCACTGCGGCTGGTGTCAAGATGACAACGCGCCTGCGCAAACGGGCCTTTGGAACAATAGTGAGTCAGGATATCGCTTACTTCGATGATGAGCAGAATTCGGTGGGAGCACTGTGCTCCCGCCTGGCCAGTGATTGCTCCAACGTTCAGGGGGTAAGTTACAAAGAAGAGGAAACATTAAACAAATATAACTAATATTCTAATCTTCTATTCATTTTCCAGGCAACTGGAGCTCGTGTTGGCACCATGCTCCAGGCTGTGGCCACTCTGGTAGTCGGAATGGTCGTCGGATTCGTCTTCTCCTGGCAACAAACGCTCCTCACTCTGGTCACCCTTCCGTTGGTCTGTTTGTCTGTCTACCTGGAGGGTCGCTTCATCATGAAGAGTGCCCAGAAGGCAAAGGTCTCCATCGAGGAGGCTTCTCAAGTGGCCGTCGAAGCTATCACCAATATCCGTACCGTCAATGGTCTTTGCCTAGAGCGTCAGGTTCTGGATCAGTACGTCCTGCAGATCGATCGAGTGAATGACGCTTGCAGGCGCAAGGTTCGCTTCCGTGGTCTGGTCTTCGCTCTGGGTCAAGCTGCTCCTTTCCTGGCCTATGGCATCTCCATGTACTATGGTGGTATTTTGGTGGCGGATGATCGAATGGACTATGAGGACATCATCAAGGTGGCCGAGGCTCTGATCTTTGGCTCCTGGATGTTGGGACAGGCCCTGGCCTATGCCCCCAATGTAAATGATGCTATTCTGTCCGCCGGACGCCTAATGGATCTCTTCAAGCGCACTTCAACGCAGCCCAATCCTCCTCAGAATCCCTACAACACAGTAGAGGTAGGTTCAATTTTCATTACATAAATATTTGTTTGGCAGATCAAAAAAAAATTGAAACTAAGCAAAGTTATTAATGCAGGAGTAGACCATTTTCCTAAATTTAAAATCCAAAGTTTATTTTTTTTGGTTATACTTTGTTATTAATTAATGCAATCTATTTATTTATTATTTTCACTCAATCTGTACTTGCCTATTTGTTCGTTATATTGCTTTGCAAGATTTTGATAATTTTACTGTTCTATTTCATTTGTTTTGAAATCAACATTCAATTGAAACTCATGTGGCTTTATCTTTTTAGAAATCCGAGGGAGACATTGTCTATGAAAATGTTGGCTTTGAGTATCCGACGCGAAAGGGCACTCCGATCCTTCAGGGCCTAAACCTCACCATCAAAAAGTCGACGACGGTGGCTCTGGTGGGTCCTTCCGGCTCCGGCAAGTCCACCTGCGTGCAACTGTTGCTCCGCTACTACGATCCTGTTTCGGGATCCGTGAATTTGAGCGGAGTGCCCAGCACCGATTTCCCACTGGACACACTGCGCTCCAAACTGGGTCTGGTTTCCCAGGAGCCAGTGCTCTTTGATCGCACCATTGCTGAGAACATAGCTTATGGCAACAACTTCCGGGATGATGTATCCATGCAGGAGATCATTGAGGCGGCCAAGAAGTCCAATATCCACAACTTTATCAGTGCTCTGCCCCAGGGATACGACACGCCACTGGGCAAGTCTTCCCAGCTTTCCGGAGGTCAGAAGCAGCGCATTGCCATCGCTCGTGCGCTGGTCAGGAACCCCAAAATCCTTGTCCTGGACGAGGCCACTTCGGCTCTGGATTTGGAGAGCGAGAAGGTGGTGCAACAGGCGCTGGATGAGGCGCGATCCGGCCGCACCTGCTTGACGATCGCCCATCGTCTGACCACCGTGCGGAATGCGGATCTCATCTGCGTCTTCAAACGCGGAGTGGTGGTGGAGCACGGCACCCACGACGAGCTGATGGCCCTCAACCGCATCTACGCCAATCTCTACCTGATGCAACAGGTGGCCGGCTAACACAGCGGAGTGGGTGTGATAATCTTTAGTCTTTAATTTAGTATGTACACTAGGCTAATAGAACATGTAAAAGTATTACGACAAAATAGAATGAATAGGCCAAAAACTACAGTCGACTGTCTACTAGGGGTCCGGGATTGGCCAGGGCATTGCGTCTCTCCTGGATGGCGAAGGTGAGCTTGCGGAATGGACCCAGTGGCAGGCCCAGCGACTTGAGGTCCGACTCCGTGAGCAGCATCAGGGTTTCCAGGTCGATCTCTTGTTTCTGAAATCTGCAAAGGAATACAGGGATTCGCATGAATTCATCAAGAGATGGATTCTAGGGGTTATCACTATAAAAATTTGTGCTGATGTTAGCTTTTGAATTGAATTAAATGGCTTTTTCGAAAAAATGCATTTTCTGAATAACATTTTTGAGTTTATCTTAATGAATATCGAATTGGAGCTACCGATATGATTACTGGTCCTTCGAAAGATTAACAACAAATTGTTGGTTAATGCATTTAACTTTTTGAGCAGATTACAATTAACACGTTAACTTTAAATTGAAAAATGGGTCCTAAATGATATTCGTCATCAGATTTTCTCCAGGAGAAATTAACTCACACTGGCAGGTACTCTTCCAGGGCCCAGACGGCCAGGAATCGCTGCAAGGCACTACCGGCTGCCTCCCGATCATCATCTTCATCCTCGCTATAAATATCGTGACCTCCACCCTCGGAGTCCGTATCATCCGAGAGGTTTAAATACAGGCGACCCTTTCCATTAGCAGATCGTGGCTTTGGTTGGCCCGCATTTCGCATCGTGGATGTGGAACTGGTGTCCGTGTGCAGTTGTAGCTGGCTTAAGGCAGCTGTCACGGATCGCCGGAAGGCTATGCTGCCCAACATGGTGGGTCTGTCGAACAGTCCGACGGGTCTCTGCAGGGTCACTTCTTCGCTCAACTCCTGGGTTAACTGACCCTCACCCAGAATGTCTGGCTGGGAGAAAGATCGCGCCAAAGCCGAGCTGTAGCCACTGCGGTTATCATTGTGATCCGTCTCATCGGCCTCCAAGCATTCGAAGACATCGCTGATCTTGCCACGCTTACCGACACTCTCCTCGTTGGAACTGAAGGTGCCCACATACATCACTTCGGAGTCCCGCTGCAGACCCGTCAATGAGGTGATTGTCCGCTTGCCATCCGGCTCCAGTTCGCGCACTTTGAAGCCTCCGTCCGAGTCGCCGGAACTCTTCGAGTGCGGACACGTGCTGCTGTGCTGCTTCTGCACCTGCGATGGTCTCTTCTGCACCGTTCCCGCTCGACTGGCTATCGTGGAACCTCCGCTGCTACTGCTACCGCTCCCCACCAGATCGCTGAACTTTGTGGGTCCGAGATGAGGGGGCGGATCCCTCGGCGGCTTGTTCAGATTACCCTGGCTGGACCAGATCTTCTGTTTCAGAGTGGAGAGCATGTTGCTGGACTTGCTGGTGCCAGTCGGTGGACTGAGGTCGGAGAAATCTGAGTCCTGGCGCTGCTGCTGCCGCTTCATGTACTCCCGCACCCGTTTTTCGCAGTTCTTCTCGGCTACCTCCTTCAAGGCCTTAGACTTCTTTCTGAAAGGTGAAAATTCAATAATACACGAAGGAAAATAAATTAAATAATTCATTTAGCTTTTGGCTAATACCCTCAGAAAGGGTACAAAAAGGACATTCTTGACTTACTTGTCATTTGCCTCGAAGTTTGTAAAGGCCACATCCAAATAGCGTAGGATCTCGTCCCTGCCATTAATAGCCGCCAGATCTTTGGCGCTGTGCTTGTCGATGTCCAAAGCATAAATGTTGACTCCAAATTTGACCAAAAAATCGACGCAATGCAGATGACCTTTGGCGGAGGCTAAGTGCAGGGCTGTGTTCCCAAACTGATCGCATTTGTCGGGGTCACCACTGGCAGAGATAAAGAAAACATTGATAAGAAAAGGAAGACCGTAAGTTGCCATTACTTACCCCCTTCCGCACAGCAGACGCAATGCATCCAGACGTCCTTCGAAGGCTGCCCACATGACCGGCGTCATGGAATCACTGTCCTTGGCATTCGTGTCCTTGCGGGTGGCTGCAGCCAACACATCCAACAGCCCATCTTTGGCGGCTCTGAAAGAAGAGATCCGAAGAATTAATGAGTCTTGTGCATTCCAATAGCGATAAGATAGAGCGAAATTAATTGCATGTACTCACTTGTGAAACCGATCCGAAGACATTCTCGTCTATGTTATCTTTCAATCAGACTTACGATGGAAACTCTCGAATCGAACTAAAAGGAATCCAATATGTTATGAATAGGCTTTTTATAATACTTCCAATTCCTTCCAATCCCACATATCAGATACTCAAACATAGGTCATATATACCCAACCAGACACATTGACACGCAATACTTGTAGCAACAATTGCAAATAAGATGCCTTTCAAGAAGTTGGCCTTTGAGCTCCACAAGATGAAAATATCGGACAATCCCATTGAAGAATTTAGGATCCATGATTCTGTAACTGAGGCATCTGAGGGTCCCAAAACCCACTTGAAAGAATCAGGGGTCAAAAAGAACCAAATGAAGCAAAAGTCCTTACTCCGAAAGCCTCGATTTAACTACCTGTACGGTAAAACTCGGGCGGAGGGACTGGAGTGGGTCCACAAAAATGTTGGCATCGGGGAGGAAGAGGAATCTAACTGGGTGAAAAAACCGGGTAGCAAAACAGTTTCTTGTAAAGCCTATGAAATGAAGGCTTTTATAGCGGAATGCGAAAATGTAAATCAGTGCCTCGATTCCGATTCTGGAAAGGAGATTGGCTTGAAAAACTTAAATGAGTGGAAGTCGCAGACAAAAGTTAATAAAATTCCATCAGTTTCTCAGGTTGTAGGCTCCGAAGACGCTTATGACGTTAAGGACCTGATAAGCGAATGCGAAAAGCTTGAGGATGTTCTATTTTATGAAATAAGAGGAGATCAATTCCAGAACCAAGACGAAGAAAATGTCAATGAGCTGGCCTGCTACCTGGACAATATGGCCATTATACCCAAGAAAATGTCGCCCATGGTAGACATGATCTACTCCTGATGTAGACCACAGGGATTTTATCTTGTTCGACTTGGAAAAATAAAGCTTACATATTTTTTAATTTTTAAAGTCGAAATAATTATAAATTCCAGGTGAAGTTGAGAAGACCATAGTCAAAAATCCATTAGAAACTTTATATGGCCTATATTGTCTTGATCCGAAGTATACCAAAGACAATGGTATATCAATTGCACAACTTTATAGACGTGTATCTTATTTTTTACACCATCTGGGGATTAGTTAGGTTGATATTTTTGTTGAGCTTATTTATAATGGAGCTCGATTTTAAATGTCATTTCAATAAAATGCCACTTTTTTGTCACATTCCATTTTTTATGACTTTACCGTGGTTGGGCAATTAAAATGAGCACGAAGACGATCGGGAGTTATTCGTAGGGCATATTTCATTATGGCCTTTTTTTCAGCGCTCGTACTAACGTTCACACGTTGTGAATTAATAATCCAAAAAAGAAAAAGAAAAGTGTAGCTTAAGCCGAAGAATCACAGGCACACACGCACACACAAAACATTACCCATTTACTGCACACGACGAAGTTGGCTTACATACCGTATACCAACTACCAAGTTCAGTCAACCTTGCTGGCTGGTTTTTGAATTGCCCAAAAATCCGAAAATCGAGGCAGTCAACCGTTTACCACGGATACACACTACTCTTGCCCCCGAATAAACAACAAACACTCACATCGGGTTTACTGTCCCGGTTCAAGACCGCTTTTCACATGCAGGATTTTCTTTCCCACTGGGCAACTTGACACTTTTCTTTTTAGCCAACCGAAAGTTTTCTTTTGCGATCGCTAGAATATGCACGTACATAAGCCGTTACCCGGAAGCACTTTCTACCGCTCCGACTGCATGTTGTTGAATGAAATTGTTAACTTGGCTCAAACTTCGGCGCTCACATTACGCACAGTGGGCAAGAAAAGTATGGCCCACCTGAGAAGCGGAGAAAAAAATATATTATAATTCAAATTATTTGATCAAAACTTAATAAATAACTCAAGAGAATCTAAGCCTTACCAACGGAGTTACTATTTATTAAGACTCACAACAAAAGAAATGTATCGGTAATAGTTAAAAATTTTTAGGTCATATCACATTTTATATTTGTAATAAAATTAAATAAGTCTCAAATGTGTCAAGTTATACATTTCATAAGTGTCATATTCTAAAATTACCGAGATTCATCATAATACCTAACAATTGGTTTTTTTTTTACTAATTTATTTGAATAACTGTTACTTGTAACTTTTGGGCTCCACTGTGGCTCTCATTTTCTCTCTCTCCCACCCACTGAGCACCGATAGGACATTGCCAGCCTCGAAATTGTAACGAACTATCGCTTACAACCACCTTTGAGCAGTGCCGCCCTGGTCGACTCGTGCTGCCCTGGTCCGATTGCCCTGAAAAACACAAGTGAAAAAGGAGAGATAAATAAAAATTAAAATAAATTCAAGTTAGGCTAACGTTTTGAACAAGGTGAACGGAAAATGTAAGAAAAACGACCAATAAACCAGACGAGCGCGATTCGGTGGCAGTTTATACTGCAGTTGCAACCTGCACATGTATATGTATACGCGTGAGGGCCACACGTATACACAGACACCAGATGAGTGTGCGTTTGCGTAGGAGGCACCAAAATAACAACAGCAATCGCAGTAGCAACAAAGAATCGGAATCGTACTCGTACTCGGATTTGGAATCGGAATCGCCACAACCATATGCCAGTGGGAAACGGATTGGACGAGGGAATCGCAGTGCCAATGCCCAGCCAATAAAGATAATATCCATATCCCCAAGGAGCCATAGGACCAGACCTCAGTTATCCACGCCCTCGACAAATCACAAGTGTCAGCCTTAGCCAAATCAAAACTGGCAGCCATCGCGTGCTCCTGCTAGGGCAGCAATTCCAGGAGCAGGAGGGGGAGAAGTCCCAGCCGGTGGCCAGTGGCCGGGTGCACCCAGCACTCCCGCACTATGGGCAATTGCCTGAAATGCTTCCAGTCTGCCGCCGAACAATCGATGCCAACGAACGCCTCGTCCCTGTCCCCCAATTCACACAATTCCAACGCCTGCCAGACGGCCATCAGCCTTGCAAATTGCTACGATTCGGTGGGCACTAATCCCAATGCCAACGAGCGCTGCGCCCTCGGTAAGTATTTCCCACTTTATAACTAAGGCAGCCCAAAGGCTAACTCTTTTCTGTTTCCCCCGACCAGAAACCGATGAACTGCTCTCTAGCCGAACTCCACTCAAGCCAGCAAAAGCAAACAATTGTGATACTAAGCGTAATAGTTTTAAGTCTTTAGGTTTGCTGAATGGCAGTGCGCCCACCATGAGCGATATCATAACAACTGGTGAGTCAGCGGTCGTTAGAGTCACTTTAATATAGTACTCATTCAAGTTTTGTTTTTCCACATGCAATCGTAAACAAATAGCTGTCAAGGAATCCATGGAGGTGTCGCATCAGGCGCTGAACAAACTATATGACGTGTACAAAGACCCGGACGACGAGGACATGATACTCACTGACGGCATTGAGCGGCTGTGCAATGACCTTAACTACCAGCCCGATGAGTTCGCCATACTCGTCCTGGCCTGGTGCCTGGATGCCTCGCAGATGTGCCGCTTCACCAAGGCCGAGTTCATCGAGGGCTTGCACAAGATGCGAGCGGACACAATAGCCACCATTCGGGTGCGACTGGAGCAAACGATCGAGATGCTCAAGGCGGACGCCGAGATGTTCAAGCAGTTATACCGCTTCACCTTCCGGTAGGTACTTTTCCTACTTTAATGTTACAAATATCTAACGATTCTTGCTTATAGCTTTGGCCTGGAGCCCGATCAGCGCGTCCTCTCTTTGGAGATGGCCATTGACCTGTGGAAACTAGTGTTCACTGTACAAACACCTGATCTCTTCTCCAACTGGATACACTTCCTCGAAAAGCACCCGAATATTCGCCGCATACCGAAGGATACATGGAACATGTACCTCAATTTTACGGAACAATGTGATATACAAAATTACGACGACACCGAAGCGTGGCCCAGTCTCTTCGACGACTTTGTCGACTATGAGAAAAACCGTGCGCTGGTGTCCTCGGGCATCCACGACGACGACAACAACAACGATGATCCCCTGCAGAGCCACGTGAAGGCCGAGGATCCGGGTCTCGTGTCGTAGTAGCAGTCTCCAGTCTCTTCAGGGCCAAGCAACGTTCAACTCGCCAATAGAAATTAAAGAATGTACATTTTCACCTTCACTGACGACTCGCTCTCTCTTGCTGCTGCTTAAGTTTCCCCCCTTAAAAACACCCGTGGCCACTGAAAAACGAACGATGCGGTGCTGGCGCTGCTTGAAGACGGACTCCAACTGCCATCATTAGCCAGCTCTTATGATTATGGCTGCCCAACATTCTGGCCGGAGCAACGGACGCATTTGTTTATGTAATTAAAGACTTATCGACAAGAATTTCGGAAAAGCTCAATCATCGGAAACCACATGTGTATATAACTAATGACTTGAAGGCGGAGCAGAAGGCAGACCGTATAATACTTAGCAAGTAATTGATGTATTATTTTAAACAAGATTGCAAAATTTTATGGCACTTAACTATTTAAATGCATACAATTACATACTTAACTGTAAGTAGTGGATGTGAATTAAATAAAAACTAAATGAGTAATTGTACTGGCGAGTTAATTGAAATTGTAATTTCTGGGAAATCAAATAGGGTGGTGGGGCTACATTTAAAACAAGCGCCCAATGGCTGAGTAATTCTCGGCAAATTAGAACGATAACATCAGATCCATGCAACCGTGGCTGATTAGGGACTTTCCCTCTAGATTTAAGGGAAATCATTTTTAAGAGGAAAGTTTAGTGATTTCTGTAAAAAATTGATTTTAAAATAAGCATTTTGTGCCTAATGAAAATGTCCTCCTTTAATAGCTTGATTCCCATGCAACATTTTTTCCCATTTTAAAATCGCCATTCGGTCCGTCACCACAAAAAAAATAATGGAATACCTTTCAGGACCTTCAAATCCTTCCCAAAAGTAAAGGACTTTGACACGTATTTGTCGTGTTTGAATTTAGTGGGAAAAGATTTTTTAGTGGAAAATACGGTTTTTGCAGAGCATTTGGTAAAAAAAATGTTCACAACCTGGTAACACTGCATCTTGCCCTATTACTATTTTGCCTGATAAAAATTTATAAAAATCATTGCGATCGCTGGCCGCCGCCTATGATTAAGTTTTGAGTGGATCCCCGGCGTCAAAAACCGAATCCCCGCCAGGCGGAAGTGATAGCCGCGTGCCGAGTGTGGGCCACCCAGTGATTCACGACGTTGACATTGAAAAACAAATGCAATGCCAGCACAGTGGGCGTGAAAAGGAGGCGCAAGGGGAGCTGAAGCAGGCCAGGAAGGGCAAGGATAAAGCGCAGCGATACGGTCGATAGGAGCAGCTGTCCACCGACCAGCGTCAAAAATGCCCTGCGAAAGCTGCGGCGTGGAGTTCACGGTGTTCCGTCGCAAGCGCGCTTGCTTCGACTGCAAGTGAGTAACTATGCATGTATATCCTAAATTTCGGGGATTCACCTAAATTGTGTTCCTATCCAAACAGACGTTACTACTGTGCCAATTGCATTGCGGCAAGGAGATGCCAAAGGTGCTCTGTTTTTGCCCAGCGTCCGCTTTTAAGGACGGATCTGTTGAAGCTCAAGCCCAAGGACCTGATTTTCTATCTGCAGTCCAAGCACATCTCCACTGAAGGCTGTCTGGGTGAGTCACACATCGAAAAAGCCCCAAGAAGTTCCATTGAATCACATTTTACCTTACAGAGAAAGAGGAACTGGTGGGCCTAGTCCTCACACATGTGGCCCAGGTGGACAGGAGCCGCGGGTCAAATGCCTCTGCCAACAGTCCGGGTCGTAGCCAGGCCAACCCTATTGACAGCATCAAACAATCGTGCCAAAACTTCTTCTCAAACCTGTCTGACAATATAAATGATTCGCTAGCCTCGTTTGATTCCAAGACTAGTGCTAAACCGCCGGAGAACAGGCAGCCCGAGGCGCCCTCCCACATCTTCGAGCAGCCGCGGGTGTCCACGCGCGAGATTCCCACTTATGCCAGTGCCGTGAACGGCGGGCCACAACGCGTCCACGTCCATCAGCCGGCCACCACTACCAATGGAGGCAGCCAGAGCAGCAGCAGTCCCTCAACTTCCACGCAGGCATCGAATAACCGCGATGCCAGCACCAGCAGCCAGGCCCAGGTGGGCCACCAGAAGAAGAAGGCAGAGGAGCAGGAGGAGGCGCATAGCAAATCCGACTGCGAGTGTTCAGACGACGAGATTATGGCCACGTTCAGTGAGCGTGTTTCGCTGTCGCTTAAAACTGATACCAGTGGCCGGGGGGCCAATGCTCCCGCAGCTCCCAGTGCCGCTGGCCTTGTGGCCGAAGGAGATGGCCCTGGAGGCGCTACAGCAGCTAGTCCGGGCTGCTCGAAGCCGGGCTCGAGCAGCTCCAAGGCAGATGCGTCCTCACAGTCGAGTTTCGAGGAACTGGGCGCCATTGGAGGTATCTCCGACGAAAGCAAGGCCACCACGGACACCAACAGCAGCCACCTGGATCAGTGGCAGGTGCTAGAGGTTAACCGGATCGAGGCAGTAGAGGAGACGCCAACCACGAGTGCCGCCGAGGAAATCTTGGAGGTGACGTTGCGCAGCAGGCCAGCAGTCGAGGGCGACGAAGGCCAGATAGGCGAGAGCACACAAACCCTGAACATAGAGCAGCGTCCGGCCAACCCAAGTCCCGCGCTTAATCCCGCCGTGCCGCAGCGCACAAAGAAGGTGACCCGCCGACGATCCGATGGTTACTTGAATCGCCGCTATCACTCCAGTGATGACGAGTCGCCCGTGACACCCGGTGGACCTGGTCTGAGCCTGGGTCTTTCTACCCTAAGCGAACAGCCTGAGCCCGGCCTCCATGCGCACTCCCATCGCCAGAGTTGCCAGCGCTGCGGTAAGAACAAGACAAACATCCGTCGACACGTGGAGAAGATGCGACGCCATCTGGAGAACTCGCAAATGTCTGAGGAAGACATCAAACGGGAGCTGCAGGAGTTCCTCACGTACCTGGAGCAGCGCACCAAGTCGGTGGATGCCTCTGACGCGGACAGTCACGCGGTGTCTCCTCTCAGCGTGGATGCGATTAGTGTGGCTGCTGGCGGTAGATCCCCAGACATGCCCATCACACCCACCATTGAGTTCTCTCCCACGCAGGAAGATGATATCCGCTGGGACGACGACGAAGGCATCCACGTGTATGCGGCACCATTGGACTTTGAGCCGGCCGCCGGCATTGATTCGCGTTTTGTCAATTTGGAAGACATTGAGGATTTGTTAGTGTTCTTATCTCATTGTGAGTCTGAAACCGATTTTATATACATTTTTTTTTATTTACAGAAAAGACTTGGAGGGTTTGACAGTGAAGCAGTTGAAGGAAGTCCTCATGCTGCACCGCGTCGACTACAAAGGGTGTTGCGAGAAGCAGGAGCTGCTGGACCGCGTCGGCAGGCTGTGGAAAACCATGCAAGAGTCTCCAGGTGAGCGGTTCACTTCAGCCCTTTATAACACTTGTTAAATTTTTAAAATATTTATGCAGCTGTGGAGAAACTGCCTACGGACGAGCTGTGTAAAATTTGCATGGATGCGCCAATCGAGTGCGTGTTCCTGGAGTGCGGCCACATGGCAACATGCACGAGCTGTGGAAAAGTGCTAAACGAGTGCCCAATATGCCGACAATATATTGTACGAGTTGTAAGGTTTTTTAGAGCATAATGATACGGCTAATGGTGACTGGACATGGTTTAATGCTGGGGGCCACCACAAGGCAGCTACGGCTGCAACTGTACTGTACTGTACAGCAAATCCGGATGGCGGAGATACAAATTATTTGTTTCCTTAAACGACGCGAGTGCAACAATAATAATATTTTTAATATTTTGTTCTACTATGTAGTATGTTGCCAGTATATGTAAATGCGTATATATAGTGTACACCCTGATACCGCTTTCAAAGTGTATTTATCTATTTCAAATGTGAAATACTTTTGCTATTTATTTTGTTTGTTCTTGTTGTTTGTATAAAAACGAGAGGTTATTTAGATCAACTAACATTCCTATAAGCCGCAAAAAAGATTAAATCGGTTATAACAGTTGTGAAAAACTTGTCTAGATGCGCATTTAAACAATAAATATTTTCAAATATCTAGCGCTCTGTGGGTCTAGCCATTACAATTGGGGATTTTCCCCGAAACAACAGCTATTTGAGGTTCAATATGTCTAGGTTCATAAAGTGTTATCAAAAGAGATTAAGATCACGTGGCGTTTTCCAATTTGTCGGCAGTTTTGTGGTGAATCTTTTTCTTTCTTGGTTTTTTCCAATACTTTGATCTTTGGTTCCGAAAATCCTTGATTGTTGTTTACATTTTCAAACGATAAGCTAATTTAAGGTTCTGTTTGATTATTTCTATATTTGCAAATGTTTGGCGTTAAACAATTGTAAGTTAAAGCCTTTTATTCACTAAATTTCAAGTGGTTAGCTCAAGTTGACAAAAGTTCTCTATACCAATTAGAATAGATGAAAAAATATAATCTTCTCAACAACATAAGGTCATTTCTTTATTTTCAATATGACTGAGTAATCTTATTCCTTGTGACCGACCTAAAAGTACAGTGCGTTTTGAATTTCTAAATTAAAACTGAAAATCATATTTCCACATTTACAAAAAAGTCTGATCGAGAATAGAAACAAATTAAAAAGACAAAGATTTCTTGGAAAAATTAATATATAAATTCTTTAACTTAATAAACAGAACTAAAGCAGATTGTATTCCTAGAATGCACAAATTTCCTTCTATTGATAACCACAAAATACCACATTTCAAACTAGAGCTCTTCAAATACAACAGTCTTTAATCAGGTTAAACAATAATCTAGGTGTAGTGACAAGAGCTGGAAGACAGCACAATGACTAGACGGGGGAAGAGAGACGAGAGACGAACTGGTCAGCCAGTTCAAATTCTGTGGATGCGCAGATCCAGCGGCGACTCCACGTCCATTTTAACGAAGAAGTCCTCGCTTTGGAGGTAACTATGTTGCCGTTCGCTTATCCAATAGCCGGGTGAGAACACCGCATCTGGCTTGGGCTTCAGCGAGTAATCACTGGGCTCATTGTTGGTGTCATCGTAGTAGCGGGCGGAGGAGGAGGAGCAGGTGGACTCCACGCTGCCGGCGGCTGGCAGGCATGTGAAGGCGGACTCGCTGCTGGTCTCCAGGAGGCAGGGGGCGCTGGGCAGGATGAGGGGCTGGCTGGCGATCAGGTGGATGCTGTGCTTAAAAGTCTTCACATGCTTTCGCAGCGAGGATGGATCTGTGTAGCGTTTCTGGCAGCCGGCCACTTTGCACATGTACGGCTTCTCCATGGAGTGGGTGCGGGTGTGCTTGAAGCGATCCGAGGAGTTCGAGTACGCCTTCTGGCAGCCATCAAAGCTGCACTTGTACGGCTTCTCACCGGAGTGCGACCTGATGTGGATCTTGAGGTTCTCCGCCCGCGAGAAGGACTTCTCGCACAGGTGGCAGCGATGCGGCTTCTCCTTGGTGTGGGTGCGGGTGTGGACGAGCATCTTGTAGCGGGCGTTGAATCCCCGTTCGCTGCGCTGGCATCCCTTCCAGCGGCAGTAGTAGAGTCCGTCTGTGAGGGAGGCGATCGCATGTCGCTGGGTCACGTGCTGTGCAAGGGCCTCCAGTGTGTCGAAAACTCTGTAATGATCAGATAAAAATCGGACTTTAGTAAGGGAACAACATTCGTAAAATATATATATAATATCTATGTACATATTTTATGCATTACAAATAATCTTTTTCATATACAATTTATCCAAAATCAAATCATATTTCTGACCATAAATTTTATTTAGTCCTATCAATTTGACCCAAAAAATCATATTATTATCGCTATTCGATACATACAACTTGTTTATCAGAAAGTCCAGTCCATGAGTTCAAGAATTACCAGGCTGCTGGTTTTTCTGCTGAATGCGTAATCAATTTTAATAATAATAAGTTACCGAGCTGTGTATTATATTTACTAAAAAAAAATCGTCTGATTTTGTTTATAGAATTATTGAACCCTTTGTTTAATTTTTTTAGGATTATTAATATTTTGATTGCTTTAAAATGTATACTTTGATAGGATCGCCAATTTACTCGTATAAAAATATATTAAAGTATGTATGTACATATATATTGAAATTTGACATAGATATTTCATATGTTCATATCCATAAGTTTAAAATTATAATTGGAAATGAATTATTTTATTTTCTTTCCTATATATATTTTTTTAAATTACTAAAACTTTAGTAATATTTTTTGGATTAATCTAAAACTACAATTTCTCACAGATAATTTACTTCTCCCATTTAAAAAACATTATGAAAGTGACTAGGTAATCCTTCTTCTGAGTAATCCTACTATGTATTTATAAGTTGATGCTTACCTATCACATTCGATCCAGTTGCATACGAAATCACTGGCTGTGCCGCACTCGCTGCCGCTGCTGCAGGACTTGCTGTCGTCGTGGAACGCCTCGGGACTCCTGCAGAGGTCGTCCTGCTGGCCGTGGGCCTTCATGATCACGGACTGTGTGCGCTGATGGTATCCGTATCCGGCGACAGGACGCGGCGGCGTGACTGGCGGCGTGGGGAACCTGATGTGTTGCATCTGCTGCTGCTGCTGATGGTGATCTGCCGCCAACCAACTGCCGGAATCCGAGTAGGCAGCTATGTACGGCGGTGTGTTGTACGGCGTATAGTAGCCGACGGGCGGCTCGTATATCCCTCTGGCTGGGCCGCTGTTGAAGATTGACTTTTGTACTATATCCATGGTGGGTGCTTGGTAATTGAGAAAATTGGTTGCTTTCGCTAACGCGCTTGCCGATCGAATGAGCCGCTCGTCCGCCGACGTTCGGGTAATATGCGAAACTCGGCCGGCGATAAGGGGTCGTCCAGACGGACAGGGAGCGCTTATCAGCGGCGAAGGCTGCAGACGGGTCCGCCGAGGGCGTGGCGACAGGGGGGCGGCAGACGGAACCAAAACACTGGAGCGAAGAAGAGCAGGTGCGTAGCGGACGGAGGCGGTGGAAAAAATCGGCTGGCACAAGTGGATCTGGGGCAAAAGCACACACTACGTGAGTGAAACTCCGTACTGAAAGGTGGTTGGGGGACAGGGGACAGGGGATCTGGTCTGGGCCCGCTTATCAACGCACAAGTGGAAATCCAGCCAGTCAACATATGTACATGTGTGTGCCCGATGATCGCTCTTTGGGGGGCAAGCCTTATCGCCCGGTGCCGTCTGCCTGACTTGCACTTCGTACCGCGAAGCGAATTCCCTGCAACCCCACCCTGCAAACCAATCCGCCCCTCCCAAACCCCACCCATTCGCTTCAAGAAGGTACGTCAACATCTGTGCCCGTGCACTCAAAGAAAACTTAATGGGTGAACACTTGGAGAACACTTTCCTTAATCTAAAATCTCGATTCCAGAACAAGCAGTCAAGCTTTTGGATTGCATATTCTAGAAACAATAAACAGCCCCTAACAAGATCACTGCTCATTATTGTCAATAGCTATTGTAATTTGTAATCAAAGATTAAAGGGACACTTTTTTACCAGTAATAAATCGATATAATAAATAAAGTTTTTAAAAATGTATGTTAATTAGAATCCAATCACAAGTTTATTTTAGTTAAATAAAAATAAACTTTAAACTTTTGGAGATATTCCAGTCCTGTTCATAAGAATTAAGTAAGGACAATTAGCTACATATACAAAAAGATTACAAATTGCAATTTCAAGTCATATACCCCTTATCTTAAAAAAGAATTACATCAAACATTTGTTGTCATCAGTAATTATAAATAGTTTTAAAATGCCGATCTGGTCCTCTTTTAGGCTGGTTGGTTTGAAAATGTTGAAAGATTTTTTAAACCATTATAGCAAAGCTAAAGAAGGGATTAAGTATTAAAAAAAACGAAGAACTCCGAGAAAAATTGCAATATGATAAGTTTATCACATTCTATTTCAATACACTAAAGACCGCTTCAAGCCTTTTTATATCACTTTTAGAATGAATTGTTAGAACCATCTTTTTATTAATAATTTTATCTCTTTATCAGGGCCTAGTAAACTTTCTATATATCTGAGCGTATAATACCGAACCTAGAATTCATTCTTGGGTTTGGCCGCCGTTTTCACCTCAGTGTGTGGGCGCTGCGTCTGGGGCTGCGATAAGGTGGTTATCTCACGCCAAGTCAACAAATGCCGCCACATGTCGCCGCTCCATATCTTTGGGGCCGAAACTTTCTGCGCCATGACGTGAATGGCACGACGGGAAGCGGAGTTGCGCTCTGCTGGGTGGTGGCTATCAGCCATCGGCGTTATCAGGCGGCAGCGGCGGCAGCGGCGGCGGCGGCGGCGCTGTCTGGGCCCGTGAATCACTGGCGGAGCAACCTTCGCTCCACCTTCGCGCCCAGTGGCAGTCCACCCATCCACCCGTAATCCGATCGCCAGCACGGGCCGCCGAGTGGGGTCCCTGGCTTACGTAAAGACAACATGACATCAGGGACTTTGATAAGCCCTTGCCCTCTATCAGCACTGCGACAGGTGGACGTTTACGTGGACTCATTGCCATTTCCAGTTCCACTTGCAGTTCGAAATTCCCAGTCCCCCGACCAGATGCGGAATCATGATTTATAAATAGATAGGGGGTATATATGTACGTTTATATGTAATCAGCCCACTGAGCGCTCGCCATCCGACTAAAGTACAGTTGCGCATGGCGAGGTCAGTTCAGCGGAATCTTCCAAAGTGCGGCCTTGATGCTTCTATATAATCCGTATCGCTACCCAAAATCGAAGACATGCGATGAAGGACCCCAGGCGCAACCTAATTTTTAATGTTTTGCCAGCGCTTGGCGGCAATTAAATCCCCCTAGAATATGAGTAAAAAAAAATCCGGATTTTCTGGCTGGCAGTGTGAACTTTGAATGGCGCGAGCGGCTGTCGATAAGCCCCCATTGTCTCTCCTCCTCCTCCACCGATCTGGATCCTCCTCGATCCATATTCCCCCCCTTGGACATTCCCAAAGTCCAGAAGCTCAGCACTGATAAGAACAGTAGCATGCTAAAAGGAATAAAATACCCACGAACACTTGCGAATTTCTGTTGGGGAGCAAAGCGTGTGCGCTTATTAATTTTCCGTGGTCCGAATCTCGGCGTAAATAAAAACAAATCCGCACCCAACTGGGCGACAGACACTCGACGATGGAGGCGAGGCTTTGGTTACCGGATCGATCCGGATTGCGTGTGCAGTCCACCGGGCGGGATGATGTTCAATATTTCTATCAAATTAACAACACTCGACCGATAACCGCCGGGGTCTGGATGGCTGGCATAGGTGGCCTGGTGGTCCGATAAGCCCTGCCGGCAAAGGCAAATTGGATTGGGCCCGAGATCGCATCCGAACCGATCCAAGTTGACCGGTAAGCGTGCGCCCGAGCCGGGGGTTTATCGCCAAGATGCATACGTGCAGTCGCCGCGGAGAAGGGTCCAGACCAAGTCCAGTCTGCTTATCGCTGCGGTGGTGGAACCCACTGGGAGCTGATATGACTATGCTGGCCGCAGAAGGCTAATTACTTTGTTGCCGCCACCGACAGACTTCCAAAGTCCATGTACCGCCGGCCAGCCAGTCATCACACCGAGGGACATGCAACCGCGGCATGGAACCCATACGCATCTCCAACCAATCCGTTTACCACAGATGATGGCTGCTCGAGTTCGGCCGACTGGGATCTATTATTTATACGCCGCTTATCGCCAGACAGTTTGATATGGCCGAAAAGGAAAAGTTATTAGGCGACTGGGGGAACCGAAAAAAAAAATAATAAAAAAAAACATTCCAGACATTCGTGGGAGCCCACAGACCCCGGAGCGCAGACCTTCCGGCAGTCCCTCTATTTTTATACCAGTTCAATGGGTGTTGCTATTTAAGAGCGATATGCTATTGTTTCTGTTACCACTGCTGATACGCCTGACAATATCTCGTCTAGACTGGGCATTATTATGAGAGGCAAATTTCGTTTTTTACGTGTTTATTATTTTTTTTTGTTTCTATTTCGAAGTTTAGCGGAAAAGTTTCAATGGCACATACATGCGGTATGATCCAACAACAATTACACAACGCCGCTGGGGGCTTTTTCATTATATATGACTGGCATTCTTGGCGGGGGTAATTGAGGCACCTTATCATTCGAGTTAGATTTACGATTGTCGGGCAGGAAAAGAAGCCAACTTCCAGTCTGCGAATGTCTAAAGGTATTACCAAAACGTGTTTAGTTTAACAAATTGAAACTCTATAAACTAAACAAAATGCAAAGGTTTTGACTTATTAATGGGACAATGTACCAACTCACAAAACAATTTCGAAAAATTGGTTTCCCAGACTTGATATGACTTTGAAATTTTGGATATCATAATCATTAAATTTGAGTCTATCAAGCAGGAAATGACTTTAGCTTTTAACTTGGGAGTGATCCACAATTTCTTATAAAATATTTGATTGTGACTTAAATGACGCAGTCAATTTCTTAATGCTCCTTTTTTTAAGCAAACGTTCAAGGGCGGAATTTAAAAAAGGATAACTGAGGCGACAAATATGTATTCCTATAACATTACCTCAATCGAATAAATAAAATGAATTAATTATAGTCGGATGACTTCCAATATTAACCATTCTTCTCAAATGCTTGGTATTATTTTCTGACAATGCTAATAAAGGATAAATAATGCTGAAATCAAAAATCAGCCTTAGTATGCTTGCATCTAAGGTGATTTTCATTCTGTTTAAGAATGATTGCGCATTTACCACAAGTCACTTATAAAAATGTTCTTAAATAATTTCGTACAGATAAATACAATGAGCATGCAGACTTTTTAATCTGGAAGTGTTCAATAGTAATTTTTCTGCTAATCATCACATAATTCAAATAGGGGCTTTGAGAATATTTCTGCATAAAATTACGTTCGCATTTATTTTAATTAATTAATTAAAACACTCCAACGCAGAGAATAAGCAAGTTATGCTAATGGGACTTGCACACAACATAAAGTGAGACAAACCGAGAAAGATAATCATGTCTGAAATCATGAGATGAGTAATGTAGTGAGCGATCGAATTGGAATATTAGAAAACATATGGGCACAATTCACTTTCAATAGGGCACCGCATACAAAGTTTTGCCTGCTAATCATCACATAAACAAATCAGGGCATTGCGAATATAGATTGAAATTTAAAAGCAATTCCGAGATTTTCCACCTATCGATCGATCGGTGATGCCGAACTGACCTTCACGTCATTGGCCACTAGATGCGCATGAATAGCATGCGGGCGGCATGCGATCACTCCCACAGCGGGTGACCTCCCCTTACATTTTAGCACTCTACTATCGCGACACAATTGATAAGACGGTCTGGTCTGTAAACTTACTTAGGGCAATAAATTTATTGAACGAAAAATCGGTTCAGCGATACGTTTAAAGTTCGCGCACACTCGGCCGCCGCCTGACGTCTGAGCGGAGATCGGGAATCGGAGATCCCAGATAGCAAGATTTCTGGAGTACGGTGGAGTTGTGTCCGTGGGGTAGCCGCCGGTCCCCGAAATAGATGGTGACCCCCACGCGGCGCCGTGTCATCGGTGGCGGGCCCTGTGCACGTGAACCAGAAATAAATATATGTGGCTGCGGGCTTAAATTTATACTACATACTCAGGCGAAGTGCTCCAGATGGTCGTGCATGTAGGTGACAAGCGATTTCTCAAACAGAGGGCCCACCAGTCGGTCCAGTTTGAGGTTCAGGCTCACATAGAACTGCCGGCGATAGCGTTTGCTCAGTTTGGCGGCCAGAACAGAGGAATCGGTCTGTCCATGGCCGCCCAGAATGGTGGAGGATAGGGGCTCAGTGCTGGTGGGATTACGAGGGGGCATGGCCACCGCTAGCTCCTCGAGAACCTCCGATTCCTTGGGATTCACAAACAGCATGGTGCTGCCCTGCATTTTGAGGGCGCGCACCGTAAATTGCGAAGGGCCCGCTTCCAAGTGGACGCAATGCGAGGTAAAAGGACCGGACTCCTTCACCGGCACAATATCTTTATTAGCACTCGCCATTAATTAAGTATTTCTAGTTACAAACAATTTAACAAGGAAAATTTATAAGCAAAACAAAACAATGAAATGCAGGTTTTCAAGGCGCCAGTGTTGGTAAACTAGATGAAAACAACCAGGGCTTCCCTATAAGAGAAATCGATTAACAGCTGCAAAATCCCCACGGCGCCAAATTTAAATGGATACTCCCCCTTTAAGACACAAAAAACTTTTTAATTTTCGCCGTTCGCAGTGTTGGTTGCTTTTTATTAAGGCTCTATATAATGGGGGCGAATTATTAATGTTTACGTTTGTTGAGTTAAAATACATATATACGATATTTTGTTCACAATTACATTCAGATTTTTTTTGCTCCCTTCAGCGCGCGTCGATTGGTTTTTGTTTTCTATAATGTTTACGTTGTCGTTTTGATTTGACCTACTTAATTAAATACACAATCGGGAAATCGGCGAGAGAGTACCAAAATAAAGGCAGACAATTGAAATCAGAGATATTCGATTTAAAGATCAGTTCCGGTTGTTATATATAAAAAAAAAATGTAGATGAAATTCACTAATTTATAGTTACGTTCGTATGCTTGAAATGTCAATGGTAATTTACTAATTTCGCTTGCAGTTGGTTATGTTGTATGGATTAAATATCATTTATGTTTGCGTCTATTGCGTTTTATTTATTGATAATTGGTTGTTAAAGTTCTTTGAATTTGTTGGATATCAAATAATTTTGATTAATTTCTTTTTTTTTGTTTCTTCTACTATAATTTGACTAAGATTTGCAACCGCGATTTCAAACTTCCATCCTGCTGCTCTTTTTTCTTATTATTTCTTGTTTGCTTTTTTTGTATTAGTTTTGTTCTTTTTCATCATGTAATCATTATCGATTTGTGAATAAATATTGGAAGTGATAAACATATAGCGTTGTTATGCGGGACTGGTGCTTCTTAATCCTCATCGTCCTCAGATTCGGCCTCCTGCAGCCAAGTCAACCAGGCATTTACTTGGAACAAAGCAGATCCTTTGCCTGGATATTTGTCGGAAATCTCCTCCTTCCACAAAACGAATGCCTCCTCCTCGATAATTTCAGATTCGTAAAGATATTTGAACCAACGGCACAGCATGCCTAAAGCACAAAAAAATCAATGTAAGTAACCTCGAATGGATTAATAATTAATTTGCTCTTACCCTTGGGGAAATTCTCATTGTAGCAGACAGACTGCAGGGCGTACAGAGCCATCAACTGCAGCTCGTTCTGTCCCAGGAAGGTTTGCAACATCTGGCTGTAATTCTCCAGCAACTGCTGCTCCTTCTGGGTCACCGACTTCTCCGGGTGCTCCTTGGGGTCGAGGTTGGCCGCCAGCGTCGTCTCCTTGGTCACGTACTTGACCACCACAGTCATGAGAGCTTGGATGAAGCCCGGGTCCTTGTAGTACTTGTTGTCCACATTGGCCTTGACCCACTTGTAGAAGTTGTTGGGATTGGGGTCGCTTTGCAGCTGTTTCAGCATCTCGGCCTGCACCTTAAGCAGTGGGTAGAGGAAGGACAGCTGACGGTCCTCGAGTATCGCGGCCAGTCGCTCCTTGTTGCGGTCCGCCTCCGGCAGGCTGTTTATCAGATCAACCTTGCTCGCCCGGAACTTCTCCTCCAGCGCATCCTTACCGATGAGCTTAACCAGCTGCTGTAGCACGAGCAGGAACAGCGGATAGTGCTGTCCGTTGTCCGTGAAGTTGGCGATGTCGTTTAGCTTCAGCAGAGCCGGCTCGCACACGGTCTTGGCCAGGACACTGGCAACGAGGGTCGCAATACGGGGGTTAAGCGCCTCCCGCTCGTTCATCTTGTTGACCAGCTGCTTGAAAACCTCGACCACGATGTTCGACTTAATGTTGGCCTGCTTGCGCAACGTTTGCAAGAGTCGCACGACACGTTCAAGGTAGACATCGTTCACGCGGTCCAGCACATCCATCAGCAGGTTGATGCACACATCCTTCAGCGACTTCTCTGGTAGCTTCAGCTCGAGGAATCCATTAACAAGCTCGGTGAAGCGATCTGGAGTACCCTCAGGTGCGACGGCATCTTCCTTTTCCTCGGAATCTTCAGCTTGAACAGACTCCGGTTCTGCCGTCTTGGCCTCATCATCATCATTTACCTCAGCATCTGGCTTCGTCTCCTCTTCGTAGTAGAACCTATCTTTGAAGTACTGAGTCGCCTTTTTGGACAGCTCCTCCTTGTTTGGACCCTTGTCCTTCTTCTGCTGCTTGGCCGAGCCGGTACCACCGACAGGGGTGCTTGGCCTTTCCACGGAACCATTTTTGGCCAGATCTTTACCATCGTGAGAGCCCTTCCTGCCCGCCGGGCCATCTAAGTGCTCACCCAACTTGTCCGCTCCTGATCCAAAGTTTGGCGATGAAGAGGTCGCCTTCAGACCCCTCTCGTTCTGCACTCCCAGCAGAGTTCGGTTGTCAGCGTATTCAGCGGATGGTGTCGACGAGGGACGCGTTGGATTCATCAGATGGGAGGTCGGCGTGCCCAACATTGGATAGTGCGAATTCGACAGCTGGCCCTGATCCTTGCCCTGCGAGCTGCCTTGATTGTTGTTGCTGCTGCTGTTGGGCGGTGTGGACATGGGCAGCGTGGCCGGGAACTTTTGGTTCTGGGAGGCCGCTCGGAAAAGCAAGGAGTTGGCTGCCGGGCGCATTTGCAAGTTCTCCACCGCATCCTGGTTCGTGGTGATCAAGTTGCGTTTGAACCTCGGTGCCAACTCCTTGCTACCCAGCAGCTGATTGCCCCCATACTGTCCGTCATTGCGATCCCTGTCGCGATCGTTGTTCCGACGCGAGTCGTCCCTGTCCCGGTTGTTGGAGGAACCTCCTCCTCCACCGCCATTTCCGCCTCCATTCTGGTTGTGCTTGTTGTAGCGATTGCCATAGTTGACTCCGCCGCCGCCGCCTTGGTCGCGATCCCTGTTGCGATCGCCACGATTGTTATACTGGCGATTGTCGCGATCTCGGTCACGATTGCTAGTAGCAAACCTAAAACACACAAAATAAGTTAAATTAAATTAAGTGTTTGAGTGGATATTGAATCCGGTAAACTATTATTAGATACTTTCCTAATAAAAGGAGTTACATTTTCTATAATTATACGATTTAGTATTATTGGTTATTTTAAAACAAAGTTTATATACCAACACCGTTCTTATGACAATAAAGTACTTACGGCGAGACAATCGGAGAAGCTCCTGTGACACTCAGTCCGCTAAACATGTCATTGTAGCCGCCAGGCTGGATGTTCAAATGGAACCTATTCATCCAGCTGTCCGAGTCGCGATCGTTGTTGCGCATGTCTCGGTTGCGATTGGGGAACGGGGTGCGAATGATCGAGTCGTCGTCCGAGCGTATTTGCTTTATGGGGACGGGGCCTTCAGTGGTGCCCAGCTTGCGCGGCACCCAATGGTTCTGGCGTAGCTCGATGACATCCTTTAGCATGAAGCGTATCCTCGGTGGATATTCAGATGACTTTGACCGACGTTCAAGCGTCTCAAAGTACTGGTTCATCAGCTCTTTGCCCTGTTCTGAATCCAGATTCTTGCCGCAAGTCTTGAGCAGCTGAGCCAGGCATTCCATGTCCTCGCACATTTCCTGCGCACCGGCCGTACGCTTCTTCTTCTTGTCCAGTAGCTCCATGATGCACTGATGCAGCACGGTCTTCGACAGCATGTCGAGCTTGTTGAGCTCTCCGATGAACTTGACGTTCCCGAGCATGCGCTGTTTGGCCAGATGGCGGCGCTCCTCTTCGTCGGCCTCATTTTCAGGCGGCGGACGGTTGTCGTTCTCGTCACGCTTCAGTCGGTTGTTGAACTTGTCGCGACAGACGGCGATCAGCAGGCGCAGGAAGGTGCACGAATTGTTCGGTTCCTTGTCGAATGACGGGGCTTCCTCGGACAGTCGCTTACAGAGCTGTGCGTACATAGACGAGTACTTCGGCTCGTCCAAGGCCTTGTCGAAGATCAGCAATATCACGCCGTTTAGAATAACAATCGAGTTGAGGTCTAGCTTCAGCAGCTCATCGCTAAGCTCTTGGAACTTCTCGGGCGTTAGCTTGTTCAGGATACCCCTCACGCGCCGAAACACGGCGTCGTTCTTCTCGCTCTGGGTAAGTCCATGCTGCGGGCGCAGCGAAGGTGGTATCCAGCGACCGGTGATCGGTGGCGGAGTGCTTGCCTTATTCGCCTGTGATCGCTCCTGCTGCTGTTGCTGGGAATGCGGAGCACCTCCTGCTGCCGCTGCTGAGTTCAGAGAAATGTTCGAAGAGTTGGAATTGGAGCCAGAAATCTGAGCAGACGCATTGCCGTTGCGAAGGGTTGGCGTGCGACTGGCCGGTGCTCCGTAACGATCCTGCTCCGACCTGCCGTAGCTGCGAGGTCCTCCACTTGCTCCTGCCCCCGATCCACCTCCGTTACGTTCTAGGCTGTTGGTGTAGCGCTGGTGCGATGGCGAGTCCTCGTAGCTGTCGCGATAGTTGTTGCTGTATCCGCCACTCACGCCTCCATCGTTGCCACCGCGCGAAGGCCCGTACGACGACTTGCTGTTATTTGAGCTCGCTGCAGATCCGTTATAGCCGGATGAGGAGTTGGAATTGCTGTTACCGTTACCGTTCCCGTTGCCGCTGCCGTAACGTGGCTGTGGGCCGTTGCTCCCATTGCCGTTCTCGTAGTTGCGGGCGGAGCGGTAATTGCTGCCACCGCCGCCACCACCAGAGCCGCCGACTGCCCCCGATCCTCCTCCTCCAGCGGAGTTTGAGTTTATTGATCGATTGTAGCTGCCATCGGAGTTGGAGTGATAGTTGTTGCGACTACCACGATGAGCTCCGCCTTGCTGGTCCTGCTGGTATCTGCCGGAGGAACCGCCGTTGTAGCTGTCGGAGCTGCCGCTTAAGCCTTGACCCAAAATGTCACTATTCTTCGGATAGTAACGCGACGACGACGAGTCACCCTGGTAAGATCGTCGAGGTCTTGGGCTCACCTCACTGTCGTGTTGGCGAATTTTGGCGGAATTCTTACTATAGCCAGTGGAAAAGTGTCCGGTCGGTCCGCCAGATGATCGGCTGCCGTTTCTGCCGCCCTCGCTGTTGCCGCCGCTTATGGCCGGAGATCCTCCTCCGTTGCTGCCTCCGCCGCTCTTAAAGCCTGAGCCGTTGGAGCCCTTGCGGTAGTTGCCGCCGCCCTGCGGATTCGATCCCGATGATGGCGAGGAGCCCTTGTCGATCTTCACCAGATTCTTGAGGTTGTTGAACGTATCCGTCGCTGTGGTGATCGGCAGGAGATTGGGACTGGTGTTCAGCAGGGTTTTGCCGACCGTGGGTGTCGGTGGGGTTTGGCCACCGCAGCTGACGCCGATAACGCCGCCGCCTCCGCCACCACCGCGATTGGTTGGCTGCTCGTAATTGCGCTCGATCTCGCTGGGATTGGCCGTTATTACCAGTCGTAAATCGCTGCCGCCGCCGATGCTCGCCGTATCACCGGTGCTGGTGCCTCCCTCAATGGTGATCGCTTTACCGCCCCGGAACTGATCTATGATGACGCCTGCCTGGTGCCCGTTGGATAGGTCCCAACGCTGCGGACTGTCGTCGTAAGAGTGCAAAAGGGGAGCGGCGTCGTACGTTGATAGAGGAATGGTGGATGCTTTTCTGGATCGACTCGGGGGCGAAATGGGTACGTGCGTGGGGTGCACGGAGTGGGTTCCTCTTGGCGTCTTGATTGGTTTCCCCGCTGAATGGGGATCTGGATCTGGTCCTATGATCCTGGTCTGGTCGATTCTGATGATCCTTGCGGTCACTCAACGAAACGCACACAAATCTAACACACACACGCGTACGCACACAGAGACGAGGGGTTTGGATAGTTGGATATCCTGTCGATAGTAAGGATTAAGATGCTGCTGCTTCCGGTTTCGTTTCTTCCTGTCGGAGTCCTGGAGTCCGAGTGTCTGGTTTGCTCCTGGATAGAAGTGACAAGTCCTGCGTGGTAACACCTGGGATTGGTCTCTCCGTTTCGGTTACGTCACACTGGGTATTGCCTTACGTTTTCGCGGGGAATCCTGAAGGGAAATCGGGAGAAACAGGATAGGCCGGTATAACCGTGACCAGTTAATAAAGAAGAGATAAGAATAGAAAAGACTAAAATATACAGGGTACACGAAAAAAATCTAGGACCAGACGAATTAACTATATTACGTACAACTGTGACAAAAATACAAAAGAAAACTGATGTGCCTACCAGTGGGATTTAATTGGCAGTAGATTACAAATTCCGAAAGATTGTTTTTGTTTACACTCGATTTCACTGCGAACAACAATAACAAAAACAGCACCTGCCATGCAAACTGGAAAATATGCATTTAATGGAAATAACCTCGGTGAGCACCTTCAAGTTTATTCCACTCTCTGCCCCACTCTCTCCCGCCAACTGCCGCATTCTCCCCACTTTAATGTGTGTGTGGCATTGCCAGCTGTACACAAAGTGCTGGGAAGATTCTAATTAATCACAGGCTTAGTCAATGCCAGATAGCTTCAACTAAGCAGTTGCTAACGTTTTTTTTTGCCAAGTTACTTTCGCTTGATTGACTCATTTGTTATGGCCTGCACTTCTTTGTTCCCGCTTTCTTTGTTTGGGGCTCGCTCTCCCCACAAACACATTCACACACACATTCTCAAAAGAACTAGAACCTGCGTCCGTGTGTCAGTGTCCTTTCTTTGTGTTGGGGTTTATGGCCTCAGCTTTGGGGATCTCTCCCTCTTTCCAGCCAGTTAGCTATCCCGCTCACACACGATGCTGGTCTTCTGCGCCATGGAATTAAAGTCTCTTGACCCCGGGAAATTAAAAGTCCCAACAAGAAGGGGATGGAAAGCTGATTAGCTGAGTCACGTCTATTCCGCTTAATTGATTGGCGATAGGATGAGGTCTCTTCTTACATTTCTCCAGTTCGTTGTGGCGACAACAACCCTGCAGTGTCTTTGTGCGCGGAGGGTACATACATATTTTTGAGCCTGCAATAATGTATTCTACTGGCAAAAGCCAAACTAAACACCCCCAACGCGAGAACCCACCCTCTGCTGCAGCGAGGCGTCGACCCCGACCTGAGGAAATAACAACCTCCCCTTGCTGCCCAGACCCAGTTGTGGATGATTTTGACCTCAATTCGAGCGTTCGGCTCTCGTGTACAAGTGTTTGTCGCTGTCTGCATATTTAACTATCCAAGTGGCACACCCACATTAAAAAATGTATTTTTTGGGGGCTTCAAGAGCAAATAACTTTTAAAAACTTATGGAGGGGCAATCAATTTCCCAGATAGTGACGAAGGCAAGGCGAACAAAGTAAACCGACACAAACAAAAATTACGAGAGTGTGCGGGAGATCAAAGAGCAAATAAAAGACACACGCCAAAAGTGAAGCTGTGAAAATGGAATAAAACTCCAACACCAGGGGTGGCTGCCTTCCAGGGGGAAGGGGGTTCGCTACAGATAACTCGAACAGCCTCAACGTCAACAGCATTTGAGATTTTCCGATGTGCCGCCGCCATTTTGTGGCATAAATATGTGTACCTACACACACTCATGCGGGCGAAACTTTCTTTGTGTGTTTTTTTTCGAAGTGATTCATTGAGTTGGCTTTATGTTTGCTGCCATTTCGCCTATTTATTCTTCAAAACTGAAGGCTCGATAGAATGACGAGGGCATCTTTTGGGCTTTCACACTTTTATTGATTTCACAGCTTGACTTTTCGCAGTGAAGAAACGAGGACGTGCACACAGACATACACTTATACACACACAATCTAATCGGTTTTCTTTTGAACATCGTGGAAAATTTTAAGGCTAAAATCTCAAAAACCCACTTGAAACTTAGCATGCTTTCTGTTTTCCCCTTTAAACTTAACGAAAAACGATCGCGTAGTCTTCTTTTTAAATTATTTTTACTAACCTTTACTTGAGTAATTTCGTATGGCAAATCACGCAAAGGTTCCACGAAATTAGAGCTGGAACAAAAACAGTGTGACCACGTATAGGTCCAAAAAAGATACTGTCTGAACTTTATACTTTTTATACCATTTTAATTTCTTAAATGAATATTAATGGTATTCCATAAATGATTAAATAGTAATACTGCTGTTCCAAAAGAATTAAATTTTGAGAAAATTCAGCAATTCAACAACTACACCACGCATTATGTACCCTTAAATTAATTAGAGAGTATATTTTAATGAAAAAAATTCAAACATCTGTTTGAAAATTCAACTAAAGCGTTCATTTCAAATAGACTGCAAAAAGGCAAAATAATAAATCGTAAAATATTACCTTTACGAAGGAAAAGTAACTATATTTCACAAACTTTTGTTGTTTTATTTTAGAAAATAATTATAAAAAAAGACAGTATTGCGTTTGTTCTTCAAGAATTCATTCATCTCGCTAACATTGATTATTCGCAAACAGGGCCCCAAAATACATGGTTTCTGAAAATAAGAAAATGATTGGTGGCGGGCCTTAACAACTTAGCTGTTCCATAAAAATTCAATTTTCAGAAAACTAAATTTGATTTAAATTTATTGAGTTGCAGAAACATTAAAATACATTAAAGCAGTTACATGGGTCAGCTGCTTAACAATTCATAAATAGCATTTTTTGTTTAATCTTTAAATTCTTAAAATTTATGAGTCGCTCAGGGAATCCCATAAATAAAAATATAAATCCAAACTATTTCCAATTAAAGGTGGCAACGCTGTATGGGAAGGTGTATTTGCTAATGCGGAGGGTGTACTCGCTACTACAATAGGAGGTTAACTCCGATAGTATATTATCGAAATATCGATATCTCCAAAGTCTATCGAATCAGTTCGATTATAATTAGTGTTGAGAATGGTGACGCATAGAAGGAGAGTTGAAAAACGTTCACTGCCCGCCAAATTTAAATATTTGATTTCAATTCACTTCATTAATTATAAAAAACTTTTGGTTTTGGTAGGTTGGGAAATAATTAAAACTAAATTATTTATGTTTATTTGTTTTATTATGAGTACCTCTTAATCTCAAAATGAAAATATTTGTTGCTCTCATATTTACTATGTTAGGTACTTGCAATTAGTAAGTCTATGGATAATTTATTGTATTTACTGGGGATATAATTTTTATCAAAGTCATGATGCCCAACCTATTTTGACCTCATTATACGAATTTAACCATTTCATATATCTTTGCCTGGATCTCGTTAATTTTCCAAAAAAATATTTCTATTTAATTAGAGTTAATTGCTGACACACTAATGAAGGACATAAAGTTTCAATGGCATTCATTTATAGTTATATGGAGCATAATTTTTTTAATTGAAATGACTGATCATTAAGAACCGTTGACAGATATAGTTTAAATATGCCTCTCAGCAACAACATAATCACCCGTGCCCTAGGCCGCACTATCACCTCGTTTGATAAATGTATTTCCCTGGGATTATCAACGCAGTCATCTAGCACAACCCTTTTCCCCAACTCCTTCATTGTTTTCCACACACACACTCGCAGGATAACCATGAAGAACTGGGAAACCGAAGAGAAGAACAATTTAATTAGTGATGACATGTTGCCATTTAATTTTCTTGTAAAAAGCGTAATTAAAAATGTTCGGCTCGCAGCTGGAGCTGCTGAAAGCGTCAAGGTGGAAGGATAAAGTGAAGGTAAAGGATAGGTAAACAAACCCGGAACGATCATATATCGGTAGGTCGGCGATAAATCATATTGCGACTGCCTCCGGCGCATATTAGGCCCTCCTAAACGATGAGATAATCTATGGTCGCAGCGACAACAAAATGCGGCCACCGGCAATAAATTTAGAAAATACAAAACATTCTGACAATTTTCCGTGGCCGTGTGTGCTTGTGTGTGTGTGTTGGTTCGGTTTGTTTGAGACTGTGAGACTATCCTGGCTGCACACATCCAGGACAAAGGCCACAGGACATGCAGGACACAGGACACAGCAGTCACGTCAACACTTTCAACTCTTTGGGCTGCCTTTTGTTTCGCCCTTCGTCGTATCCTTTCGGCAATAAAAATTCCGTTTGCTATTTATCTTGATTGTCCCCAAGTCGCCATCGCTATAGGAATAGTCGCCCAGTCGGTTTATATGCAGGACCTAGTCCGAACTCCGGACACTTCAATGTTGGTCGCCGTCGCGATGCCTGGACATTTTTTGCTTAATGAAATGTACATAAAACTAAATGAAATTAAGTTTGTGGCGTGCTCGTGCCAAGTCCGCTGCCCACTCCACTTCACTTCACTCCGTTCCGTTCCGTTTTCTAAGCCTTAGCTGCGTGTTTATTACCGCGTCGGGCATAAAATGCAAAGCGCCTTTTTCCGCGCTCAAAATGGCCGCCAGCGAACCCTTTTCCTAGAAATCGCTCGCGTCCGTTTCGCATTTAAATTTAAAGCACTCGAAAGGGGGACGGCAGAAAAGCTCATAAAGTCGAAATTAAATAATTTGTCTTCTTAATTTTCAAATAAATTCTTCATCATACGAGAAAAGGGAAAGTCGCGGGCGGGGGAAAAACAATTGTCAGGCACTAAACAGTGAGCAGTGAGCAGTGAGCACCCCTCGGCAGAAGAAAAGCCGACAGGATGATGGCAAGTGAACTCGGCCAGCCAACCAGAAGCGTGGCGAAATCGCAACCAGCATCCCCTCGCATCCGCAGGATAAACACTCGAGAAGTTGCCGGCGGAAGGAGCGTTTTATTAAATTCGACCTACGCCACCCCATGAATATCCTTGGGTCCCATCCTGTTGCCGCCCTCGCGACAGTTTTCGTATTGTATTTTTTAATATGTTTGTTCGTCCGACCGTCTGTCTGTCTCTCAGTCACCCGGCACAAATAATCGTGTACACCATTAATCCTTATTTCACGGCATTGTCCTTCCCCCGCCGACCCCGCTTTGCCCGGCATCCTTGAGCATCCCCTTGCACAAGGACAAGTGGCATGTAAGCGATTATCGCAAGGATATCTGGGGGAGATGCGAGGAAAAACAATAAATGTAAAAATAAATAAAAGGGTGTCAATGACTTTTGATAATAGGAATGATTGTCCAAATATGCTCAAACAATATTCAATGCGAGTGCACTTCGAGAAAGTTGGACTAACATACTTAAAATGTTTTCTTTCAGGAAATGATTTAGGAAACTTATAACCACTATTTCCGGTGTCTGTAAATCAGGATTAGCAAATTGATAATGTTGTTTTAAGGAAATAAAGAAAAAATTAAATTGCAAGCAAAAGAAACATTCAATTTATATCTTAAACGATATATTCCTGCATTAATATGTTTATTTTAAATATGATAGAAATATTATTTATTTATATAAAGCGAACCTATAGTATAAACTATGTTCCAAAAAAATAGTTGCTATTGGTTCTAGAGACCTTCAGCTCACTAGGTAATAATTTATTTAGTTATGATAGAAATATGTTTACAATGGTTGTAGGTTTCCATAAATTTCCATTTTGAAGAGTATAACTTATGAACTTTTGTAAAATATCTACAAATTGTTTTTTTTGCGTAAATCTGTGATAGCTTTATGGCAAAACTTTTGAGTATTTAATATACAAAATAAAATTAAGTATGCAAATATACGCATATTTTCTTTTGCTCATGACACTTATTTTTTCCAGCTATAAGCAATTGCGGTAATTTCCCAGCTATAGCTCAGAATAATTAATTGAGCATAGAAACGCTCACATCTTTCTGACAGTGCTGATGAAATCTCGCTCCAAAAAACCAATAAAGTCCGAAGACAGCTTTCGGCAATCACAAAACGATTTGGCATACACGCACATGCCCCGCTACTCCCCCGCAACTCCACGCATTCGCAGTGTCGGGCGCTGACTCTATATATCTCTCTTGTCCTTTTCAATAGTTTCAGCACGCTTTACGCTTGGCCTAATTGCCGGATCCGGATGAAGCTGCCTGGCTTTTTCCCCCGTCCAGGACCTCCGTCCCCCCCCTTCCCCCCTCACCGCCTCGTCCCTTTGCCGGCATGGAATGTTGGACTTTTCGACATATACAAATTTCGGCTATGCGACGGGGGATTGTGAGCGAAATGAAAAATGACAACGCAGGGTCGTCCGTCGTTGGGAGTCCTTCGTCCAAATGTCGAGTGGAGTGAAGACCGCACGCACTTTCGGCAGCAGGAGCGGAATCAGGACTCTGTGTCGTGTCCTGTCCCCGTGATCCTTTCACTGCATATCCTTTTGATGCTGAGGGTGCGAAACGTTTGAATGCGAAATTAAATGATAAAAGATAGCAGTGACACACGCACAACGCACAACACACACCCCACACCACCACCCACTGAAGGCTGAAGGTCGAGCACCTGTTTTATTAAAAAGCAAATAACAGAATTTCGGGGGGAGGGGGTCGAGGGTTTGGGTGGTGGTGGTGGTGGTGGGGGGAAAAGGAAAAGGACCACCGCAGACAGCGGGGGGCAATGCGTCTGAGGCATTGTTAATAGTCGGATGATGTGGATGATGATGACGACGGTGGTGGCGGCGGCTGCATGTCCTAGATGAGCTGGATGCCCCACCCTCGCCCTCACGTCCTCATTTCATTCACCCCTCGCATATATATTCCGTGCTTGCGGACTGTCAAGTGGTTGGCGTAGCATAATAATTGTGCATATTTGGCTTTTTAATAAAATCTAATCGTCATGGCATCAGGAGCTCATGGACACCCTGAAACAAGGGGTGGCGCACAGTTCAGGGGCAGCAATGAAATTTTAATTAAATTTAGCCAAACAAACCCATCCAGAATGGGGCAAAACAGGGGGATCAAGCGTTCGATATTGATTGAGCACCGCAAATGTCTGGTGCGTTATGAAATATGGCTGCAATGACCAATTACCTCTATTTATGGCCAGCAAATAATCTTCGCTTTTCGCGTAAAATGAGGCAATCGAAGGGGGAATTGATAGATTGACGAGTCTGACAGAAATCCAGGCCAATACAGTCGCACTTCTCTAACTGGGATAATATAGAAATA